ATGTATTTTGCGCTTCAATTGGTACTTAGGTTTGGGTCACTAACAGCAAAAAGCAGTCAAACCAAGCCTTTAGGAGTTAGCTTGATGCATGTAGTGCCAAGAAGGATATAGGGCCCAAACTGTTCTTTTGCAAAACCTCTGTGTTTTCCTGTATTACTTTTCCATTGCATACACTGAGGGTCTGTCACCAGAAATAAGCCGCCTTGTGACTAATGGATTTTAAAAGGTTCACGAGCCAATACGTTTGAACCAACTACTGCGAAAATGACTGCGAAATGAGCATAAGTACACAGTTACAAGGAACTTGTTTCAGCCTGTAGAGGGCAGTTAGTCACCTTATCATTTTCTAGCTATATGTTAACTTGTAATGCAGGATTGTATTGAAGAACGGTGAGTTTTCAGCATTTACCTCATGGTGGTTTCCCATGATGCATTTGTTAGTTGCTACAGCCAGCAGTGGCACACACACCATGCCGACTGTTTTACCCTGAGCAGATAGCTAACATGTGAAAATACACTTACATTACTGTGTTCCATTAAAACATTTGAATGAATCACAAACACTCACAGTGGTTACCCCTTTAGGTGGTGATGAGCGGGATAGGAATATGCAGCACATTTCACATTCTCGTATTCCTTGAGGATTTTCATTTCATTTCAAACATTTATTTATCCAGGTGAATCCCTTGAGATCATTGATCTCTTTTTCATGGGAGACCTGCTCAAGTAGGTTCCACATGAAACATAAAACACAAAAAGGACATCTTACAGCATAATTACAGGGGTTACAATTTACAATAACTATCCACATGAACAGGTACCAACAGCTTCCGATTGAGTAGCATCCAACCAAGCTTTAAAAACATTTAGTGGCACCAGATTGCTCAGTTTCCATTTAATTTGCAGACTATTCCAAGACAGAGGAGCTGCGCATCTTAAGGCCCTGACACACCTACCCGATTTTGGGAGTCAGAGGCAGTCAGAGGCAGTCGGGCATTTGCGGTGCTCTACTCAGGTTGGTGTGTCCCGCACCGTCGTTGCTTTACGGCACATGTTCACACCTCCCGCGCCAAAGAAAGTCGGCCAAAGAAAGTCGGCCAAAGAAAGTCGGCCAAATAAATCACACGCTGTTGCCTCTTTTGAATGACGAATACACACTACCGCTGCCTGCTGGTAAGGACAGTTATTGCCACTCGTCGACTGAAGTCTTTGCGGTGTGTTCGTAGGCGGGCGGCGTAGGCGGGCGGCGTAGGCGGGCGGCGTAGCCGATGCAGGCGACGTAGCGGACTTAAAAGTCGGGACGCCCTCGGAACGCGTTCTTTAGTCTCAGGTTGGTGTGTAGCGGCCTTAAGGACCTTTTTAAGTTATATCCATATTGTGTTACCTGGCATCTGCAGCTCTACCTGGGGACGTTATCAGCGCCTGGGGGGGGGGGGGGGTCTGCACTCTGCATTACTTGCTCTACCTCATCCATCAGAATAAACCAAATGCAGCACAGAGGAGTGTATCACCAGGAAAAAAGCTCTGGCATTATTCCAAACTGAACTGCTTGTTTTTCCCAGCTGACTGAGACACACAGACTCATCTGTCTGCACCACTGACCCAGAGACAGACACAGAGAGGGGGGGGGGTTAACATGGTTCAGGTGCAACACAGTGTCCCAGCAGGCTGCTCCATCCTCTCCCTCCTCTGTACCGAGCTGTGGCTATTAAACAAAGTCAGACAGGATAGTGAATGCAGGATTACTAAAGCCTGTAACTTGATCTCTCCTCTCAGTTGGCTACTTTGCTCGGAGACTCCCCTTCCTTTCTAGATGACTGTTTACAATCCTTTTTCCCGCCGGAAGACATGAAGGCTGTACTTGAACACCACAGAAACCTTGGGCATTTTGGAGAGAAAGGTGAACAGCAACCAGCCTTTGTTTAGTTTCTTAAAGCCTTTTCATGTTTTGTGATTTGAACCTGGCTTGGGTCTAATGAACCTTTTATTTATTTTTCCTAATTGTAGATCCTAGATTATTACCAATGGATGACTGCATCCTCTCCTCCCTGTCTCTGCCTCCTGGGTCCAAACATGTCATGAACACCACCTCGCCTGCTCACAGGGATTTACACTTCTCAGAGAGCAAAGGACGTTTTGACGCTCTCTTGAACACCAGCAGCCTGGAGAGGGCGAGCAGGAGGAGCTCTGAGACGGTGAGACAGAGCCTGAAGGACACCCGGCAGGTCAGAGGAGGGAGCGTCTCTCAGGAGAGGAAGCTGCAGAGCTCCGTCAGTGCTGACACCATCGACCTCACTGTGTCCGGGGAGACCGCGGCCATAGACCCAGCAGCCAATGACAACAGCCAAAGTTTGCGAGGAGGGCGGGTTCTCAGGAAGAGGAAGCTGAGCGGAGGCGGGGACATTCCCACTAAACAGCTAGCAGCGGCTTTCCTGTGAGATTACCACACGTTTGGTTCATTTTTAAAACACAAAGACATTACAGGGGGGTTAAAACCTCCTGGCTTTAGGGGTTGCCACTCATCACCAACATTAGATCAAATGTTTAATATGTCAAATCCGTTTGTTTTAAACCTGCAAACATAAAGACATTCCCATTAGCCTCAGCTAATGCTAATCTTAGCTTGAAGGGCATGCCCATATTAAATGTTGTTGTTTAATGTCTTCTGCTCAGTTGTGTTGCTTCATGGGCTTCTTTTCATTATAATCTTCTAAAACACAATGTGTAACCAAAGCTTTGACTTAAAACATCCAATTTTCCATCTCTTTTCATGACATAAACAACTATTTTGTTAAATCCCTCATTGAGATAAATCACTTTGCATTAAAGAAACCTTTTTAAAGTAAAACATTTTGTTTTCCAAGCAGAAATTCATCAGTGGAAGGCGGGAATTCGGATGAATCTCCTCTAATCTCGATATGGGGAAAATACACAGGTTGGTACAGTTAATGTACCGATGATTGGATATTTGTGTGTATCCGCCTTGACTCTAACTCTACCTGTTTCATTTTTAGACTCTCTGGAAGAGTCTCTCCCAGCTGTGACGGACTCAAAGGTTCCCTGGTCGGACGAGGAGACGCTCAATCTGCTGGACATCTGGGGGAATGACTCTGTGCAGCGGGCTCTAAAGGGCTGCTCCAAAAACCGTCACATTTTTACTCAGATCGCTCAGAAGATAGCAGAGAGAGGGTACTCAAGAACCGTGGAACAGTGCCAGACCAGGATTAAAAGACTGAAGAAGAGCTTCCGCAGGTTAGTGTTCAATCAACTTTCTGTCAAGTCATTGCAATCTGAACTCTCCTCCTTAGACCTTGGATGTCATTTTTGTTTTATTGAAGCAAAAACCATGTTGCCTTTCTCCTTTTTCTGACACTAGAGGGAGCTCCAAGCTGGAGAATAAATTTTACGAGCAGCTGAAGAGAGTCCTGGGCTCCTCAGGCCCCTCAGCTGTCCCTCAGGTCACCTATGATGTGGAAGAGGTCATCGATGAAGACGAGTCCCGAGACGGAGAGGATGACCTTCAATTCCTCGGCCATACGAACCAACCAGAAATAGGTAAGTTCAGAAAGTTTTTTTTCCGACTCTGAATATATTCAGTTTACTATCATATATAAAATCCTCACATTTAAGAAGCTGCAACCAGGAAACATATGGCGTTTTTTATTACAAAATGTCTGCAGGTTGATTCTCTCTCAATCTTCAAATGTATTAATCAACTAATTGTTGCAGCTGTAATTTAAATCCGATAAAAGCACTATTAAAGTATAGTATTTCATCTATGCTTCCCAGAACACAAAAAAAACACATACAAATCATAATCAAAGATAATAATAATAAATGTCATGTTTTTACTTGACAGTCAATCATATTTCTGAAGGAACGAGAAGCGTTCCATGGACGGACGCTGAGACGCTGGGTCTCATCACCATGTGGGGCGAGGAGCAGGTGCAGCAGGAGCTGAGGGGGACGCACCGGACCGGACACATGTTCCCCACCATATCAAACAAGATGGCCGCCCAGGGCTTCTCCCGAACACCGGAACAGTGCCAGAGGAGGCTGAAGAGGCTGAAAGCAAATTTCAGGCAATGCTACCAAAACAAGTATGTGAACTCGCAGAAAGAGGGTGATAGGAAAAGCCTGTGGTAATTGTTGAGTTACAGTATTAATCTGCTCTCTTCTTATCCTTTGTTGAAGCCTGGAAGGACAGGAGCAAGTTCCCTTCAAGTTTTACAGTGAACTGGGGAGGATCTTAATGAAGGACTTCCCTTCAGTGCCACAGCCGGAGGAAACAGCAGGAGAGCCTGAACACGACGACTTCCCCTCATTCTCCCATCAGGACATCGGTAAACTTCAATGTTCTGTAAAACATATTTTAGACAATAAATGGAACATTTTGTGTCACAACATCCTAACACTAAATGGATTGTCATTAATGAATACGTTTGAATGATTTTATTGGCATGTTCTTTTCTTTTTGTGTCTCCTCAGAGTCTGTTGTGGGCGCTCAGGAGGACAGGAGGAAAGTGCCCTGGTCGGACAAAGAGACCATCATCCTTCTGGAGATCTGGGGAGACCCACAGGTAAACAGAAATAATGTAGATAGTTATGCCTGATAATAAGGCTGTACTGCCTTTTCAGAAATCATAGGTACAGGCAGCGATTCAGAGATCCAGACTAAACATTTCATCATAGAGGATGCTTTTTTACTTCTGTTCAAAAGCAAAGTGGATCTCTTGATTGTCTCTGGAAACAGATTTGGCAAATGTTTGCTTTTTATGGGCTAGAGGAGAGGGGGAGACCCTGCGCTGTTGGCAGGAGAGCTGTAGGCTGCGGTTACCACTCGCAGATACAATACAATATCATTGAATTCATGTCTTGGCTTTTTTGTATTAATAAATTGCTTCATTTGTTGTCTTTGCAACAGTAGCACCAACATGAATACCACTTGAAACGATAGAGGGAAGAAAGTTGTTTATTGCCACTTCAAATATATATTTTGGATTGCCACCTTCATTAAGAATTTCCCCTACATTTAGGTCCAGCAGAGCATGAGACGCTACCCACACAACGGTCACATTTTCACGGAAATATCTGAGAAACTCGCGGCTAACGGCTACTCCCGCAGCGCAGGCCAGTGCCACACCAGGATCAAACGGCTGAAAGCTAACTACAGGCAGTGTCAGGAGAACATGAGGTAGGTGCTGCACAGATTAATGTCCCCGTCTGGACTGATGGTAGGACACATGTGTTAATACAACCTCCTCCTGTCTGTAGCTCATCTGGGACTGACAAAATTGACTTCAAGTTTTACGATCTGCTGGAACAAATCTTGGAGAAGCAGCCGTCCACATCCTCCACCGTGGTAACAGACTCCATCGAAATATCTGAAGACTCTAATGTGGAATCGGTGACCGAAACAGGTAAAAAATGTCCCCCCATTTACTATCTGCAGGGGTTATTATGGCAGCATTACTGAAGAGGACACTCTTATGGACATATGTATCGGTTTAAAATGTAAATTAACAAAGAATGCTAGCATGTACGCTAACATGCAGATTATTAGATTATTTTGCAAGGACGCTGCTAACTCTTCATGTCAACAACTACAGTATATTTGTATGCTTTACAAAGAAAAATCAAATGTCTTCACTTGTGAAATGGTGCATATACTCTATAAACTCTGTGTTTCTGCTGACAGATGGAGAAGCCAGCATGTCGACAGAGAAAGCTCCACCCAGCTTGTGGTCCGACGAGGAGACGCTGGCTCTGATCGAGGTCTGGGGCGACGAAGACGTCCAGAGAGCGCTGAGGGGATTCATCCACAACGGACACGTCTACGCCGACATTTCGGAGAGAATGCGCGACCTCGGCTACTCCAAGAGCTCGGACCAGTGCCGCTGGAAAGTCAAGTCACTGAGGAACAACTTCCGACAGTGCTGCGAGAGGAAACAGTAAGACCAAGTCACTTTATCAGTGTAATCACATATAATCCAATACGACACTAATGGTTCATATTCATTTTCTATAGGTGTGGAAGAAGAATAGATTATAGATTCTACCCACAGCTTGAAGAAATCCTCGGACAGGAAGCAGGTCCTGTTGATGAGTATGAGGAAAAAGAGGAACAAGCAGACCAGGATCCAGGTCAAGATGGAGTAACCACAGCGTGGACGGAGCAGGAGACGGTGGCCCTCGTGGAGGTGTGGGCGGCAGACGACGTGCAGCACGGCCTGAAGACCTGCGTCCGCAACGGGCACATATTCGCTGACATATCGGAAAGAATGACCGCCGTGGGATGGCCGAGGACGGCGGAGCAGTGCCACTCCCGGATCAAGAGGTTGAAGAAGAGCTACAGGCGGTACTGCAACAGCTGGAGGTAAGTTAAAGGGTTGATTGATCCTTTCTCAGACATTTTAATAATACTACATCGTTCGTCAGGAAATATAAGAGGCCCCGTTATGTTCTTTGGGGTTTCCCTTTCCTGTTCTGTGTTATGTAGGTTTTTGTTCATGATAATGCTTATTTGCATGATTGATTTATCTGCCAAGTGCTTTCTCTGTAAATCAATATGTGGTCAGAAAGAAAGAAAAAAAATGCCCATAGACCGAAGTGACAGATCCCCCCCCTCCCAGACATGTTAAAGCCATTAAATACTGCGGTTTGAACTATAATCTTGGTCAGATAAGTACTTACCTAAAGAGGCCCTATTATGCCTTTTGGGGTGTTCCCTTCCCTGTAGTGTGTTATGTAGGTTTATATGCATGTAATGGTCTGCAGGCTAAAATCTCTGTGTTGCCTCCAAAGGGACTTCCTCTCCCACACACATTAAGACCAGTTTTACCCTGGCATGATTGACTTTTTCCAGAAGTGGAGCACGCACCACTGTGTTCCGATACTTCCACCTCCTGGCTCCGGTGCTCGGTGATGACTCGGTGAATGCTGATGTGGACAGTACTGCTGCTGACACCACCTTACAACCTCTTACAGACAATGATTCGGACATGGGTGGGTTTCAACATGATCAAACATCGGTGTGATTGTGCAGATACTATGTCAGTTCAAAGCTGATTTAATCAAATTAATCTGTTCCTCCTCTTAGTGGAGCAGCCATCCTCCAGCCAGCTCCTGGACCTGAGCAGGAAGACGCCCTGGTCGGACCAGGAGACCCGCACCCTGCTGGAGATCTGGGGGGAGGACAACGTTCAGCTCACCCTGAGGGGCTGCCTGAAGAACCGCCACGTGTTCGACTACATCTCTGAGAAGATGGGCGACGGAGGATACATAAGGTCCTCAGAGCAGTGCTACACCCGCATCAAGCGCCTTAAATACGGCTTCCTGCATGAAAAGTGAGTATTTACAAAACCCTTTTTCTCTTCTAAAGCCATTTCTAATTGTTGAAAAATTGCTAATATGTTATTGGTGTTGTCATTAATAGCCAGCATCGAGAGGTTATTTATGTTGTTAATTAACTCACCAACCAATCACGGAACAGAGCAAAACGTAAAATGACGTTAAGCTTTATTACTACTTTTAACCTTGACGAAGAAATTAAAAGAGTTTATCGTTTCTCCTGTGTAACCCAGAGGAGAGGCTCATGTCATGACCAATAATGATGTTCAAATTTGCTCTCCCAGTTTGGAATTTGGAAAAACTGACACCTCCTTTCTTTAAATTCAGAGAGGATTATAAATTCTACAGTGAGATGGATGAAATCTTCAGGAGAGAGCTGAAAGTGGACGACTCAGTCGCAGACACACAGGACACAGAGGAGCCGGAGGACTGCACTCAAAAGAAAGGTGAAACTTCACAAAAACATTTACATATTTTTTAACATGAAGTGAAAGGATCAAAGAAGCCATATACAGTAGAGACTCAAAGAAATCCAAATCTACAACATGGGAGCTCCTACTCAAAAATCATTTTGATTGTAGAAGCAATATCTGAATCACTATGTCTTGAATTAAAGGATACTTCTCTAATGATATCCCTATTCTTACTTTTTAAGAAGGGGTATAGTCCTCTGTGTTTTATATTCCACAAAAATATTTGTAAGAAAAGCTGTTTTTTAGAGTACACTATATGTTGCATTTAGGTGGAGGCAGTTTACTATGTTTCTCATCTTAATTTCTGTAAATCAAACGGGGTGACTGAATACAAGTGAGCAAATGCCATAAGCAAATCTCTCCTTAATTCCATCTTAATCTGTCTAATGTTTTTGCTTTTTAAAATGCCATATAATGCACATTTTGCTACTAACTAAGTATATGTTGAGCAGAGGTCGCGTTAACCGAATATTTTCCGTCTATGACGGATTTTTTTTAACAATGACGGAAAAATCTGAAAGCCGTCCATTATTTTGACAGATGAGAACAAACTCAGAACAGCGCCAAAGTTCCCCCGCAGCGGGGCTCCGGTGTTATGCCGTGATATGCATGCCCGCCCCAAAAGGAAATTATGTATATTGATCTCTGAGTTTCCTCTCTGCTAGCGGCCTCAGGTGCTCAGTGGGTGGCCGACAGCTCCAAGCTGCCCTGGAGCGACGGAGAGACGGAGGCTCTGCTGGACCTGTGGGGCAGCGAGGAGGTGCAGGAGACCCTGAAGGGCTGCACTAAGAACAAACACATCTTCATCCAGATCTCTGAGGTCATGGTCAGCCAGGGCTACATGCGCACCCCCGAACAGTGTCAGACCAGAATAAAGAGGCTGAGGGCCAACTTCAGACACTTCCTAGAGGGCAGAAAGTAAGTGTTCATGCTGCACGTCTAAACATCCGTACTCTGAATGCCTCACAACATTTGATCCACCCTGGCAACTCCTTCCTTCTCCTTTTAACAATAAGATCTGTTTCCTGTTTCCAGAGGGGAAAAACAGGAGTGCAAGTTTTTTGAGCAGCTGGTGCAGATATTTGGAAGCAAATATGTATCGAACTCTGACCCCCTGACCGAGGACGCAGCCGAGGACGTAGGTAAGGAGTCAGCGTGCTTTACGTGGTCCGTCATGATAGTGTGAGGCAGTGGCTTTATTAACCTAATAATGTACAGGAAAAACCATCAATTAATCAAACTGTATTTATATAGCATCATTTATACACAAAATGTTACATAAAGTGCTTCACAAACCATAAACGACTACAACAAAAAATCATAATTGATAAAAACACACAACAGAAGTCAATAAACTGAATAAAGACATTTAAAAATGTTGGATAAAATAAATAAAAACCAGTGGGCTATGATTTTGTTAGTCTCTGCCATGCAACAGGAATTATTCTATTTTTATATATATACACGTTTTTGTTTACTCCTGTTAAAACCTCAGAGATCATGTCACACCGACTGGGGAGGTTTTATAATTGTTGTTTTTTTACAGTCTCAGCCTCCATTTAAAGCTACAGACAGAGAATCAGAATTTTTGGAACAGAGCTGAAACAGAGGGGTTTATGGGATGCTACAATGATCTGTTTTGTGTTTCAGCCAATCAGAGACAGGTTCTGTATATAACTGAGACCTGTTGTATATTGGTGAAAAAGAGTATAGTAGTAGGGGACCTTAAGCAAACTGATTAACACATTTTATCTCAATTTCCTAATCCATAAAAATGGTGTCAAGCATCACATTGTGGTTTTACAGTCAGTTATGAATTTTTGTTTTGATTGAGTGTTTGTACAGATTATGCCTGTATAAGAGATATAGCATCTTTTTGTTTTACTTTGTTTATTGGGTTTTACAATAATATACAGTTGTTACATCAGAGTATATATCAAATTAAGAAGACAGATGTTCAGTGTAAAAGACAAGATAAAAAGCAATACTACTGTACGGGGGCTAGCTCTTCCCCCTGTTTTTATGCTAAGCTAACTGGCTGCTAGCTCTAGCTAGTAACCAAATGATCTTCTCTAAATCTCAGCAATAAAGCAAATAATTTATTTCCAAAACATTATTTAAAAAAAGGAAACTTTTAACTATAATTCATTAATGTTGAGATTCTCATAAGACAAATCTGAAATTCACTTTCTTCATTGGGCAACTCACTGCCTTACTCACTACTTTACAGTACAGTTAACCATGTACAGTAGCTAAGTCATATTCTCAGTTTAATATTTAATGATTCACGTTTTCCTATCCAGAGACCTGAAACTGTCTGTAATCTTGAAATGAAATAATGAGGAAGAAGCCGCTGCAGACTGAGGAACATCCAGAAGTGAAGGGGACACTGGAGCAGAAGCTGGTGGTGTGCCGCTGTGCACAGATGACGTCTGCCTGTGTACACACTTCAAATACTTTTACATTCTTCATGCACACAGTGTGTGTGTGTGTGTGTGTGTGTGTGTGTGTGTGTGTGTGTGTGTGTGTGTGTGTGTGTGTGTGTGTGTGTGTGTGTGTCTTGATCAGATATGCTATGTCCTCAACTGCAGGCACACATGTGAAAGACAGTACATGAGGTACAGAGGAAGGAGGGGAGTTTATAGTTTAACACTGAGAAAGAAAGTCAAAGAACAAACGTCATGAAGAAGAAATGTAATGTGTGTGTGTGTGTGGGGGGGGGGATCCTCCCTCCCTTGGGGTTGTGCACGGGCTTGTTGCAGCAACATTCCTCCACTCAGCTGCTTCTGAACAGCACATTCCTGTAAGAGAGAGATGGAAAGAGAAAACTGAGAGAGTAAAAGGGGGAAGAGAGAATATACTAAGAAAAAGAGTGAATTAAAGAGGGAGAAAGAGGGGGGTAAATAATGATGGGAGGATGTTAATAATCTATTAATGTTATAGTAAATATACTATGTAATTGATTCCTAGTGTAACCAGCTTCTACACAGAGGGGTCCACAGGTCAGGGTCACATACAGTACAGAGAAAACAGAAGCATTGCTGAGAAAAGGAAGTGACAAGGGGGGACTGCCAAGGCACAC